GGGCGCTCTGCAAAAGAGGGAACCAGAATTAATCAGAAAAACCATCAAATACAGTGTATCACGTTCCTCCAGTTGGAATTTAAGAGGCTCATATAAAGTGATAAATAGATCAGACTAAGGGTAGAAGGTACTAGAAGCACTCACTGGCCTCTGTGTAGACCTGGCCAAAGCGGTAGTAACACATCTTGTACATGAGGCAGTTAAGCAGGACTGGCGAGCCCTCGCGGTCCACCCTGAACTCTCCGGTGGCAGTGTAGTAGTCGTGCTCCTTGATATGCTTGCCTGTGTCTGTACTTCCTCCAATACGGACCATCCACAGAAACTTGTTGATGTCTGTCATGCAAACACATACACCAATTAGAAACCGTCCAAACAGTAATGTCTTACTTCATGTGCTGCATGTTTAATGAGTTGACAAAAAAAAAGGAACTCCTAAAACTCAATTTCACTTATTTAGAAGCTTAAAAACACAACACCTTACGTGCTGCACTAGTTATAGAGTATTAGGCGGCGTACCATCTGAAGAGTAGCCCGTCAGCCCTCCAAAGATGACCAGAACATAACTGACGTCGAGCTCTCTCATGATCTCGTAGGCCCTTTCCTCTGTCGATGCCATGGCCTGCAAAAGAAACGGCAGCGCGGTCAGCACAGCAGCATTTCATAGACAATTTCACCTTAAAGGTCACCCAGCTCACCTGTCCAACTCTGGAGATGTGAGTATTGTTCCATGTGTTGTTGTCCACTAGAATGGTTCGATTAGCCATGGCAGTTATCTGATATCCGTAATCCCACCATGACATGACTTTGGCATCCTGGATAGGAAAAATAACACTCAGATACGTCGATGGAAAATCTGATCAAACGGCTGTAACTGTTGATCACTCATGACAACGATCTATAGTTTAACGATCAACCTTTTCTTCCTCACGTGGGGATTAACTGACCTCGGGTGTGTTGTGGCGGAGCCAGTAGTAGGCCTCTCTGAAGTCATCAAAGATGATGCGGCTGCCGTCGCCTCCACGGGCTGACAGGACAATCGATGGAGAGGAGTAGGCTTCGCTGGTCACCCAGGTAGAGTGGAACGTGTACGTGATGAGGAAGAAAGCCATTACCAGAATCATCCCACTGGCAACCTGGTAGGTTTACACAGAGCATGTCAACATGCTTTTATATTCATTATTACTACACTTTATTTGGGATCAGGTAGTTTAAAACCAGGAACTGGGCCACTTAACGGGTAATGGAATAAATTGAGGGAGAGTGAAATAAAGAACAGGAGGAGATTTCAAAGGTGAAAACAGCCAAATACTCAAGTGAGAAAGTGTAGAGAGAAGCTATAAAGTCTCATTTGTGTGTTTAATTCCCTCTAGTGAGTAACGTTGTTGTTGCACTTATAATTTTTGTGGGAGTGTCTGCATTGCTCTGCAGGCACAAGTAAAATGGAGTGCTTATGTTGACCTGGAGCAAACAAATTTTGAACAACTTTTACTGACACCGAGACGCACGAAGGAGGAAACACTGAGTCTATACATTTTGTCAACAGCACATCAAGACTGCCAGGATACTAACATTAGCACAAACTAGATGCAATTGCAGCAAATTCCATTTTGTTTTACAGAGGTCTCATCTTTGTGCTGTCAACACACTGAGGTCACGCTGCATATTACCATCAAACAGATCGATCATAGCTGTTGAGATCTGTGTAAATGCATAGTTATATTTCTTGGCAGGTGCAGGTCAGACTGCGGTGTAGCTTTGTACTAGGGCTGCACGATTTTGCATAAAATGAGAATCACGATTTTTTTGCTTAGAAT